CCCCCCCCCCCTCCTCTCCCCTCCCACAAGTGAGCGGACGATGCCGTGCTCCTCAGCCGCCTGCACAGTGCTGCTGTCGGTGGCATCGCCGTCGGTGATGATGATGAGAACCCGGCGGGTGCAGGGCCGGTGGCCGTTCTCCACTGTGAAGATCTGCTCCCTGCAGGGAGAGGGGGGTTGGGGGGCGATCATGGGGACATCGGGGCGGGCGGGTGGCCTTGAGAGCACCTACAGTGCGACGCTGGGAGGCATGCGGCCATGTGACTGACAGGTGGTCACATGACACAGTCACATGATGCGGCACAGGGAGACACAGCGTGACTGCGGGGAGATGGGCGGTCACATGACAGGAACTCACAGTCAGGTGGTCACGTGAAGGGAACTCAGACAGGTGGTCACGTGACAGACAAAGCGGTCACGTGACAGGTGGTCACAGAGGTCACACGAAAACAGGCGGTCACGTGACAGGAAGTCACCGGACAGGTGGTCACACAACAGACAAGATGGTCACGTGACAGACAGGCGGTCACACAACACGAAGTCAGAGACAGGCGGTCACGCGACAGGCGGGCGGTCACGTGACAGGAAGTCAGCAACAGTTGGTCATGTGGCCCGAAGTCACAGACGGGCGGTCACGTGACAGGGTGCCAGGAGACACAGCGAGCGCAGGGAGGCGGGCGGTCACGTGACGGGCGGGCGGTCACGTGGGGCGGTCAGCTGACACGCATGCGACATATTGGACGGCCGTGAAGGTGTCGGTGAAGCCGCCCTGCTGCCGGACGTCGCGCAGCAGCTCCCGGGGCTGCGGCCGCTCCGAGTAATCACGGAGAGAGAAAACCGGCTCCGGGGAATCGGAGAACTGCACGGCTGCGAACTGACGGACAGACGGACATCCCGTACTGACACCACAGCGACCCCGTGGAGGTCCTGTGCTGCCCCACAGATACCCCATAGAAACACCATAGCGACCCCATAGAAACTCCTATAGACCCACAGGGGCCCCGTAGAGACCCCATATCGTCCACACAGACCCCTTACAGACCCCATAGAGACACACAGGCTCAGGGAAATCGGAGCACTGAACGGCTGCGATCTGATGGACAAACGGATGTGCGGACATCCCATACCGACACCATAGAGACGCCATAGGGACTCCATAGAAACACGTACAGACCCATAAAGACTCCTATACACCCGTAGGGCCCCCAGAGAAGCCCACAGAGACCCCAGAGAAGCCCCCGCCCCCACCCCCCGGTGCTCACCCTGAAGGAGCTGTTGCTCAGCTGCTCCATCACCTCCACCATGAAATCCCGGATGGCCTTGAACTCATGTGCTTTCAGACTGCCAGAGCCGTCAAACAGGAACACTGGGTCCACCATGCTGGGAACCCAGCCTGCCCCGGACAGATGTGGGGACACATGGGGACCCATATGGATACGTAGGGACCCCATAGAGACCCATAGGGACTCATAGGGACCCACAGCTAGCCCCACACATTCCCCCAGTCTCACCCTGATATCCAGCCTCCAACACCTGCAGCGGCCGCAGTTCGGGGTCCAGCACGGTGCAGACCCCCCCAACGTGGATGTTGTGGTTGCATTCCCACCTCAGCCCGGGGCCACAAGCCTGGGATGTGGGGCAGGGCTCAGGGCTGCCCCATAGCCCCCCCAGAGAGACCCTAGAGCTGCCCCATAGAGACCCATAGGAGCATCAGCCCCATAGTCGCCCCATAGAAACCCCAGAGAGTTCCTCTGTGATCCACAGAAGATGATCTGTGGGGCAGACATCAGCCCCATATCTGCCTCATAGAGACCCCAAAGATGCCCCATAGCCGCCCCATAGAGACCCCATAAAAGATGATCTGTGGGGCAGACTTCAGCACCCTATCAGCCCCATACCTGCCCCCCACCCAGCCCACATCCCCTACTCACGATGTTGTTGTTCCCATCCCGGCTCAGAGCCATTCCCATATGGGCAGCGCTGCGGTTCCCTGTGGATCACATCGGGGTCGTTCTCCCCCCCCCCCCCCCCCCCCCCCCCC